TCTCTCTCTCTCTCTCTCTCTCTCTCTCTCTAATCGTATGTTCTATATGTGTGCGTGCGTGCGTACATGCGTGACTATGTGTGTGTGTGCGTGTGTGCGTGTGTGTGCGTGTGTGCGCGTGCGAGCCTGCGTGTGTGCGTGCGTGTGTGGCCACCAGGGAGAGGAAAGCGCGCAGCATGGCGCAGCATGATGCAGCCAGCATATATCTAGATAGCATCACCAGAGAGCAGAGATAGCATCTTCCATGGTAACGAGCCGCTGTGACTACGCAGCTTCCCTACCAGCTTCCCTCCCACCCCGCGAATAATCATCATGTGCGGATACCTATCTGCGCGATATTATATACCAGATCCCAATCTCAGCCCGTGTCAAGCGGCGCGCGAGGGTGGGGGAGGGTTAGCGAGATCATTTTATCGTTGACCGCAGGGAATTTTTATCACTGAACGTGACGCGGGTAGAGTCTTCTTCCCAGTTTAAAGTTTCCGTCTCCCACCTAGCGACACTTGTGGGCCGCAGCGAAAAAAAATACACGGGAGCGGCGAGCGATTTCGCTCCCGTCAGCTTTCAAAACGCTCTGGTAACAACAATTACGAGTGCGAAAATTTTGGAAGATACGAGAAAAAATCGATCCCGTGCCGCCGGCAGCGTTCGAAATTAGTTCCGACCCGGAGGCCCGAGCCCACCAAGTTTTTGCTCGGGCCACCATCTCTACGAAACTGCCGGTCCTCCTGACCGGCACTTTTTCCCCTCATATTACGCTGAAATACTATCAGGAGCGTATAATGACAAATGGCAGTTAGACGTATAATACTATGGTTAGCGCAACGGCAGTTTAGACAGACTTGTAAACGGGAGCGCATAATATACTGCGGTGCCGGGCTCGACAAACCTGCTTGCCCGATGGCCCGGGGCAACCAAAATTCGCCCCCGGGCAGGTAGCTTGAAATTGCACTTGCCTGTTCGGGTAAGCAAGTTTTTTTTATTGAATGGCTAGACATAATGAGATTTTTCTGTTTCCACCCTTCCCTTGCATTGTTTTGCACAGACATAAGCTGCCTTGCTGCGACGAGATTTGAATGAAAAAAATTATGCGAATGAGACAATCAGTGCATGCAGTCATACTTTGTACACGACATGCATGTACAGCAACATGTAAACCCGGCCTCCGTGATTTTGTCACCATTATGAATGATTGTTCACCTCGTCGATTTCGCCAAAGCATAATCTTGACTTTCGTTTGGGAAACACCTTTACGAGAATTAGACACAATTTCTGGCTTCTGGGACATTATTAGAGTCAGTGCATCAAAATTATGAAAATTTGCCGTGTGAACAAAATCATGCTATGAAAAAGTAGCTCTGGCCAAGCCTAAAATAGCCCCCGTAAAAAAAATTACGAGAGCTCTTTTTTTCATACAAAATCAAAAAAGAGCTCTCGTAAAAAAAAAGATATTTTTAGGCTGTTGTGGGGCACACTAAGCGAGTCAGCTGGCAACAGGCGGAACATACGCACGTACGCACGCACGCACGCACTCACGCACGCGCGCGTACACACAGTAGCAGCACCAGCAGACCGAGTCAAAAGAGGCGGCGCAACTCTCAATGTGTCTCCTCATGTCTGCAATCGCTGCCGCCGCTGCTGCTACTGCCGCCGCTGCTGCTACTGCCGCCGCTGCTGCTACTGCCGCCGCTGTTGTTGCCTCCGCTGCTATCGCCACTATCACTGCAGCCGCCGCTGCCATTGTTGCTGCTGCTGCCGCCGCTACTGCTGCCGTTACTGTCGCCGCCGCTGCCGCCGCCGCTGCTGCTGCCAATACTGCCGCCGCTGCTGATGCTGCTGTCGCCGCTGCCGCTGCTGCTGCTGCCGCTACTACCGCCGCCGCTGCTGCTGCCGTTGCCGCTACCGCTACTGCCGCCGCTGCCGACATCGCCACTGCAGCTGCCGCTACTGCCGCCGCTGCTGTTGCTGCTGCCGCTACTGCCGCCGCTGCTGTTGCTGCTGCTGCTGCCGCTACCGCCGCCGCTGCGTTACGCACGCAGACGCAGATATGATGGATCGTCGGCCTCATATACCGGCGCTCTAACCCCCAGAGACTGCCGCCGACGCAACTACTTCGCTTCTCGCATACGCACGCACCGCACCAGCACACAAGCCACACCAGCGCACACACGCACATCACGCCAACTGCGCACGCACGCGCACGCACGCAACGCGCAGCGGTGCCACGTCACTGCACGCACTGCACGCGAGCGCGCGCGCACGCAAGTAATATCCAGCCTGGCTTGCGTTCGTTCGCAGTAGTCCGCTAGCTCGCGCGGGAAACACCGTCCTCCTCCGACAGCAAAACAAGACACATGCCCCCCACCGCCAAGCAACCGCACGGTACGTCACGCACGGCAACGCACGCACGCACATAACATACACACACACACACACATAGTACCCAAGCACTACCGTCCTCTGCCGATAGATAAACACACACGCGCCAAGCAATAAAACCTATCACTGCGGGCCTGATCGACGCTCTCTCTCTCGCGCGCGCGAGCAATATTGCCTCTCGGCCTGACTGTGTGCGAGTCACAACACGTCATGTCTAATATTGCCGTCTGTGGCCTGCGGGATCCCGCTTCATTACACTGGCAGTAAACTTGCGAGGAGAGAGAGAAGAGAGAGAGAGAGAGGGAGAGAGAAAGAGAGAAAGAGAAGAGGAGAGAGGAGAGAAGAGGGGGCAGAGAGAAAAGAGAGAGAGCGAGAAGAGAGAGAGAGAGAAGAGAAGAGAGAAGAGAAGAGAGGCAGAGAGAGAGAGAGAGGCGATGAGAGAAGAGAAGACGAGAGAAAGACGAAGAAAGATACTGAAGAGAGAGAGAAGAAGAAAGAGAGAGAGAGAGAGAGAGAGAGGAGTGAACAGGGGGCAGACGAGAGCACGAGAGGCGAGAGACGAGAGAGCAGAGAGCGGATATTAGAGACAGAGATCGCTCAGAGAGCATGGCGCTGCGTACCCAGTACCACAATTCAAACGTATACGCGGTTGCCGGTAGCCGACGATCCAGCGGCGAGCGATGAATGACACCGGACAACGCAGGTGCTCGATACATAACTCAGAGTTAGTTGTACTGTGGAAACACTAGTATACTTTTGCCTCTCACTTCCTCATTCTCTAGCTGTCACACTACACACTGCCACCACAGCGACGCAACGCACGGATCCACACGGTGGCAACGAGCACACCACCGCGTTGAAGGAGAGGAGCGCTACTTGTGTCCGTCTCCTTTCTTAATGTTCTCTCTGCCCCCGTCACTAGCTCGTCTCGGTTTCTTTGACTCAGGCTGTCGCCTGTCTGAGCACGACCCCCCACGCCGTCTACTGCACCTGCACGTCAGCACGCCCTTTGTGCATGGATGGCCCATACGAATGACTACCCATGATCGAAAGTCGAAAGTAAATATGACAGTTATTGGCACGAATAGGCTGGTGCGCATGTGGCGCAACCCGTCCATCCAGGCGACAAGCCGTGCCGATGCGCTGCTCCTCGCACGATGGCGGAGAGAGAGAACTGAGCCTCTAACGAAGTCCACGTGTGGC